ACACGTCCTCGTATCTTTAGCGTCACTTCAAAGCGTCGTCAATTAATGACTTGCACGTTTGGATTAACTGCATGTCTACATTAAAGTCATTTTCTGTTCTATAATGATCAATAAAGAAACATTCATTTAATAATAAAAAGGAATAAGCCATTCAAATAAAGAGCCCAATCAGCAGATGGCGGGCGGGTGCGGTTTTAAAAATTCGTCAAAAACGTTACTGCGGATGGATGGCGGACGGATGATGAATTTGTCATGCGGTTGCGGATGAAATAATAGCCCATCCGCGCATCTCTAGTAGACGTTACTAAAACACAACAGGTTACTGTGAGGTTGGGTTAGGATTGTGGCAGGTGTAGACGTTACTAAAACACAACAGGTTACTGTGAGGTTGGGTTAGGATTGTGGCAGGTGTAGACGTTACTAAAACACAACAGGTTACTGTGAGGTTGGGTTAGGGTTGTGGTGTAAAGAATCAATGAAAACTCCTGAATTTTTGTACAACCAACTTTGAGCTCAAGTCTCACCCATTTGGACTTTGACCTGCGTTTATACCCTTCTCCTTTGGCCTGCTAGCCAAGGCGTCCTTACTCTACAGCTGGATGGTGGAGCTGTGTGCCATGGGAGGAAAGGAGGGTTGGGAAGGGGCTGTGCTACAATTGTGCTCACAGTATATATGGTTTTGGATGGCCTCATACTGTAAAATGGTTGGGTGTTCAAAAGTGAAGGAGTGATGATGTGCATTCACTCAGAGCAAAATTCCAGAAATGTCTTGGAAATGTTACAACTTGTCATTGCCAGATCAGATGTAATGGTATTTTTTACATTTTAAAAAGTCTATATGTATGTCCCTCATTGTGGAGGATGTTCCAAATGTTCTACCCTGAGATTCTCACAGGTGACAAAGCTGCTCGCTCAATCTTGAAGGAAACTCATGTTAACCACTTGTATCTTGGATTTTGTCCTTTTGGTGTGACCTAATGCTCATGGCCATAGATGAGAGTAGGAATGTAGATTGACCAATAAATCGAGAGCTTTGCCTTTCAGCTCAGCTCCATCTTTACCACAACAAACTGATGGCAACAAATACCATATCAAACCATGCGAATTATAATTTTGGTTACACTTTATTTTGATGATCTGTTTGCTGAATTTAGTTACAGTGCATCTACATATACCAACTAATTCTGATTAGATTATAAGTAGACTGTTAAGTTGGTGTTGGGGTTAGGGTTAGTGAAAATTGACATGTACTTGCACAGTTTTTTGTAGTCGGTTAAATGATTGAAGGTGCAGTATCAACATATTAACCAGTCTACTAATGCTCAAACTGACCATCAAAATAAAGTGTTACCATAATTATTATTATTTTTTGTGATCACATTGCATCATAACTCATTTTAGAACATTTGAGTCTGAGGAAATTAAGAAATGTTTATTTTTGGGTGCACTGTCCCTTTAAGAGACAGTTATACTAACACCTGAAGCAATATAATGGGGATTTCTGGGGGTCTTTAAAGTTAGTTGATGTGAGAGCTGCTAATCCTCGTGTTGGCAGGATAATGAATTCACAAAGGTGAGTCTGGGTCTGTGGGCGGTGAGGCGGTAAAATGAACAGGCGGTTCAGCAATGAAGTCATTCAGAGTGAAGTGTGTGATTCCCTTTGGCAAATCAAGTGAATCATCCGTTATAATGACGCGAACACTAAAACACGCTCATTAGGCCCAATTATGTGGATGTATGTGTGCAGAGAGACACCATGGAGAAATTATACTGAACATGGACTGTATCAGTTGTGATTGACTGAGCGCCACCTGTGTGTGGGGATGTGTCACCTGCACAAGAATACTCAAAACACTTGATGACTCACACTGAACTCTTCAGATGAAAACAGCCACTGGTGCTCCGTATTCCATAATATCTTAGCTAGTTCTTGAATAGTCATTTATTGCATGCATAAATAGACCGCAGATACATAAATAAAAGGTTCAAAATAAAATGAAATTATACTGGAACTTGCCTTCAAAAAGTGCTTCTTTGGTCTTATACACATTTATCATTTATTGCATGCTGAACACACGTCCACCACAAAAGGAAGTAAAAAAATCTGAACTGCTAATTGCGTAAATTTTTAACGCGTTAATTATTTAAAATTAATCGAATTCGTTAACGCGTTAATTTTGACAGCGCTAATATATATATATATATATATATATATATATATATATATATATATATATATATATATATATATAATAAATGCAGCACTAGAACATACAAAAGATGTATATGTATGTATTTTTATATATATATATATATATATATATATATATATATATATATATGTATGTATGTATGTATGTATGTATGTATCTATGTATATGTATGTATGTATGTATGTATGTATGTATATGTATATATATATATATATATATATATATATATATATATATATATACACACACACATATACATATATACATACACATATATATATACATATATATACATATATATATTTATATATATATATATATAAATAAGTGTCAGGTGAAGTTTTTTTTCCCTCTCCGCTGTCACCACAGCCTCGCATGGTTCAGGATTGGTAGAGCTACGCATCGATGAATTTGCTCTTCAGTGTTTGAACTCTCAGTAATAATTAAATCACACTGAACTGAGCTAAACTGAACTGAACTGAACTTAAACACTAAAACCTGAACCACACTGTTCCAGTTACTATGACCATTTATGTGAAGCTGCTTTGACACAATCTACATTGTAAAAGCGCTATACAAATAAAGCTGAATTGAAAAAAAAAAATATATATATATATATATATATATATATATATATATACACACACACACACACACACACACATCTCTTTTGTATATATGTTCTAGTGCTGTATTTATACCATAGTAATTGTAGTTTATTGAGTGCAAGATGGGACTCACATATCAGGAACGTATGCATTTTAAGTTCTGTTTGTTTCTAATGAGTCCCCTGTTTTCTAATGAGTCTCCTGTCTCCTGTTTTCCTGGTACTGCAGACTAGTTCAGTAAAAAGATAAATGCATTAATAGCGCAAAATAGAATAGTATCATTTTTCTTTATCGCAAACACAACAGTGATCTGGTAGTGTTTGAGCTGCTTTGGCTTTTTCAGAGTAATTGATTTTTATAGTCATTGTGATATCCTGATCGCAACAGAGAAACACTGGGAAATGCCTCTAGACAGAGGGCATTTTATGCCGTTCAGCCTAATAATCCTTAGAAATATATATAAAATATTTTATAAAAATTATATATAATGTATTGGCCATTAAGAAAAATGTATATAAATGTATACTGCAATAATGTGTTTAGTAGTGAACGTTTAAAGTTTTAAGACAACTATCATGAAAGGGGATGATCCACTTTAAATGTTGACTACTGTGTATATGCACAAGCATAATAAAATGAAAACATGCAGACCTTTTGATGTCACAGATGCAAGATCTCTTGTTTTCTTTCTGCTTTATTCAAAATGTTCTTTTTGTACACAAAGCAGCACAGTACAGTTAATTCCCACACCTCTATTTTCTTCTACAGATATCTGTAAACCAGCTGATGAGAGCTTAGAAATGAACAAATCCCTATACAAAGCAAAAGCAAATAGAAAAAAAAGGCACAATGTATTTGATCTCATTACACCTAGCTACCCATAAATTACATACAGACACATTCAGTTGCCTAGAGTATGTTGTCCTATAAAGGCAAATGCAGATGTGCTAAACGCATGATTATATAACAGGTCCAATATTCATAATGAACATCCACATGTGCTCGAGCTCAGCAGAAGGATACAATCCTACAGTAACCTGAACATTCAAGTAGACACTTATTTATAAATATTTATAGCTGCGATTAGTCCAGGAGACGCTTTCGGTTCGTGCACAGAGATTTATGAAGTTTAATCTGAGCTTTACATTGAACAAACAACAGAATCGTATTTTAAATCTGTAATACTGCATCCTATAGAAGAAAGAAATCAATATGCTAATTTCCAGTAACTTATATTGCAAAAAATGCTATTGTAATGTTTCTATTCCAAATTTTTTTAAAATTCCTAAATGAAGAAGCATTTTCCTTCTTTCTTTTTTTAATGAGAAATAAAAGTCAATTTAAGTGAGTTTTTCCTTAAAACAAGCTAAATAATCTGCTGGTGGATTATATAAAATAATCAAATTTCAAACCAAAACAAAATCTGCCGGTGGGTTATGTAAAATAAACACATTTCAAAGGAAAAACAAAATAACCGGCCAGTGGTTTATGTAAAATAATTATATTTTAAAGCGAAAACAAAATAAACTGTTAATGGGCTGAGTAAACAACAAAATAATCTGCCAGCGGATCAAGTAAAATAATTGTATTTTACAGCCGAAACAAAATAATCTGCCAGTGGGGTAAGTAAAATAATCATATTTTAAAGCGAAAACAAAAATATTCAAAATTCAAAGGAAAACAAAATAATCTGCCAGTGGTTTATGTAAAATATTTAAATTTCAAAATGAAAACAAAATAATCTTCCAGCAGATTAAGTAAAAAAAAAATATTTTAAAGCAAAAACAAAATAATCTGCATAAAAAATAAAAAACATGTTCAAACTACTTATTTAAAATAAGCTGAAATAACCCAATTTTTGAGTTTTTTTTTTGAAGACAACTTAATAGTTTTATGTTCACTCCACTTCAATTTGTAAAAACGAATAAGCCAACTTAATTCTTTTGTGTTGTCTTAACACAAATTGACTACGTGGAACCTAACAGTGAATGGGCTAAGTAAAATAATCATATTATGCTTACTCCACTCACTGATTATTTGGCATATTTTAAGGAAAAAATCTCTTATTTTAGACTTATTATTTCCGGAAAAAAAACACTTCTATTACTTACCTAGAAAATGCTTTGTGATTTAAGAATTTAGCCAATATGGACTAGAAACAAGACAAAAACTCCAAGTAAGAGAAAACATTTTTTGCAGTGCATTTGTATGTGAGAGAACAGTAACCAGTGGTCAGATACAGTAAAAACTATTGCTAACCTTCCTTTATATTGACTCATAAAATCTCTAACGGCAAAACAAAAATAAATACACATAAAATTAAATTAAGTCAAAAATTGGTCAAATGGCTGAATCGCCTCCTAGTGAATCCCCCATATATAAAACATAGGATACAAGAACCACAGAAAACATTTTTCTACAGCTAACAGGGTTGACTTTGGCTCATAGAAAGGCAGATGAGAATAATAATATATTATATATTTAGAATATATACACACACATACATACATACGTAAACAATCTATTAGATGTACATTTATGAAACACAAGCAGAACAAATGTATATTTAACCCCGCAAAAAAAAAAAAAAAAAAACTAAATAAAAAACATTTACTCACGCTCAAGTGGTTGAAAAAAAGTGCCTTTTTTCTACTAATAACAAAGAAAAAACTGAATGTTTGAAGCCATTGACTTTCACAGTAAATAAAAAAAATCTATAGAAGTCAATGGTGACCGGTTTCCAACATTCTTCAAAATATCTTCTTTTGTGTTCAACAGAAAAAAACAAACAAAAAAAGTGGAGGATGAGTAAATGATGACTGGATTTGATTTTATGGGTGAACACTCTCTTTAAGAGTCCTTATATAAACTGTTGTTCATCTAAACTGTAAAAAAAAAGGCAAAAAAAAAAAAATATTTTTGAAGAACATTTGTTCTGCGTGTGTTTAATGAAGGCTCTGTCTGCCCGCCAGGGGTTTAGAAGACAAAATTATACTGCATTTTCATTTGAATTCCCCTTGTTAGCAGCAAAGGGAGGCTACTTTTGGTTGTGCAATTGTGCATGATTGGACTGGAGGGAAAGTTAGGCCTGATCTCGCATGTTGAGTCGAGTTCATTTGTTTGGGTGGAAAAAAAAACCCCTTCAGGTCCAGGAAGTAAAAAAATCTCCTCAAAGTTGATTTGTGGTCACCCTAAAGGGACGATTTCTCATCTGAAAAGGGAATAAAGTGTCTCTAAAGAGAAGGACGAAGCACAGAATTCAGTCAAGATTTGGTCCAGGGTAGGAAGTGGTCAGATAATGTTTGTATCCAGTGATGCCCTTCACTGTTTCTCTCGAATTTTTTAGTGCAAAGTGCTTAATGTTCCTTCAGCCTGAAAAATAGAATAAATTAATTAATTAATTAATGAAATGATCGTAGACAGGATGTAAAATGACTGCAAAAAAGCTTTTCTTAATTAGAGTTAAAGTCTTGTTTCTATTTTTTGGGATAAGCATTTCTTTTATAATTTTTAAAAGTTATAGTTAAAATATAGTTTCAAACAACAATGACTACTGAATTTGAACAGTGAATACGAAAATGGTGCAAGGGATTTAAATTAATAACATCTTAAGTACGTTAGTTAAATACACAATAACATTTCAGGTAGGCAAGTTAAACACTTAACACACAAACACACACACAACCACCAACCCACCCACCTACCCACCCACTGTATATATATATATATACAGTTGAAGTCAGAATTTTTAGCCCCCCTGTTTATTTTTTCCCCAATTTCTGTTTAATAGAGAAATTTTTTTCAACATATTTCTAAATATAAGAGTTTTAATAACTCATTTCTAATAACTGATTTATTTTATCTTTGCCATGATGGCAGTGAATAATATTTTACAAAATATTTATAAAGACACTTTTACACAGCTTAAAGTTACATTTAAAAACTTAATAGGTTAAATAGGTTTACTAGGCAGGTTAGGGTATTGCATATCGATGGTTTGTTCTGTAGACTATCAGAAAAAAAAAAATAGCTTAAAGGGGCTAATAATTTTGTCCTATATATATATAATAAATAAATCTGCCATGTTTTAAATCGCTTCTTTTTGTTTCATTTTAAATTTACTCAAGGACTGAAAACTTCAACTTGGTGCAACTGTTTTAGTTCAAATATCTCAAATCAGAAGTATTTTCCATTTTCTAGACAAGTAAAAAGTATTTTGTTTATAGAAATAATAGGACAAAATTATGGGAGGCTTTCTAAAACAAGCAAAATAATTACCCAATGGGTAAGTAAAAGAATGTTGAATTCAGTTTTATAGACAAACATTTTAAGTGAGAACTGTGTTTTTGTAGTATGCTCATTACTTTTCAACTGTAATATTAATGGAAAAAAGAATGAAATTGCACTCACTCGACGGCGATTCCTGGCCGGTTCCTATGATAGCGAAGCTCCTTCATCACAAGCCTCAGCAAAAGCTACAGAACATACAAAAAATCATGGTGGTTTTTAAAGTCCGCTATTGAAAATAAACCTGTTTTTGGTTAACAACAATACATATAGTTTATATATGTTTATATATAGTTTAAAGTTTAAAAATATATAGTTATGATTGCTTTATGTTTAGACTACAATATTATGATTTAAATATGTAACTGCAACTGGTCACTCAGGATGAATTC